TGGCAGTAGTAGTAACTGTGGATATGGTTAATAATATTTGTTATACTCGGTTTTATGTTTGTGGAAAAAGTAGAGAGGGAGAGAAGGAGGACATGGAGTGAGGATATAGAGGATTGAGATAAAACTATGTTTGTGGCGTAGGTACCTGTGTGTTCGACATGTTTGTAAATATGTTTTGTGCGGATCGAAGGGAAATTGTGTGTATTTTGCTTATTTCATTTGCATGGGATATTTTTGAGAAATAATGAAAATTTTAAAAGATATTCTTTAAAAAATCTGCGCCTTAATAAACCTTGAAAAAACATTCTTTAAAAAATCTGCGCCTTAACTAACTTAGAAAAATATTCCTTAAAAGGAATCCAGGCCTTAACTAACTTAGAAAAATATTCCTTAAAAGGAATCCAAGCTTTAACTAACTTAGAAAAATATTCCTTAAAAGGAATCCGCGCCTTAACTAACCTAGAAAAAATATTCCTTAAAAGGAATCCACGCCTTAAAAATTCTTTAAAAAATCCACGCCTCAACTAACCTAGAAAAAATATTCCTTAAAATGAATCCACGCCTTAACTAAACTAGAAAAAATATTCCTTAAAAGGAATCCACACCTTCACTAAACTAGAAAAAAAAAAAATCCTTAAAAGAAACTAACCTAGGAAAAATATTCCTTAAAGGTATCCGGACCTTAACTAACCTAGAAAAAATATTTCTTCAAAAAATCCACGCCTTAACTAGCCTAGAAAAAATTCTTTAAAAAATCCACGTCTTAACTAGCCTAGAAAAAATTCTTTAAAAAATCCACGCCTTATTAAACCTTGAAAAAATCTTCTTAAAAAAATCCACGCCTTAACTAGCCTAGAAAAAATTCTTAAAAAAATCCACGCCTTAACTAGCCTAAAAAAATTCTTTAAAAAATCCACGCCTTAACTAGCCTAGAAAAAATTCTTAAAAAAATCCACGCCTTAACTAGCCTAAAAAAATTCTTTAAAAAATCCACGCCTTAACTAGCCTAGAAAAAATTCTTTAAAAAATCCACGCCTTAACTAGCCTAGAAAAAATTCTTTAAAAAATCCACGCCTTAACTAGCCTAGAAAAAATTCTTTAAAAAATCCACGCCTTAACTAGCCTTTAAAAAATCCACGCCTTAACTAGCCTAGAAAAAATTCTTTAAAAAATCCACGCCTTAACTAGCCTAAAAAAAATCTTTAAAAAATCCACGCCTAACCTAGCCTAGAAAAAATTCTTTAAAAAATCCACGCCTTAATAAACCTTGAAAATATTCTTTAAAAAATCCACGCCTTAATAAACCATGAAATTCTTCTTTAAAAAATCCACGCCTAACCTAGCCTAGGAAAAATTCTTTATAAAATCCACGCCTAAATAAACCACGAAAAAAACTTCTTTAAAAAATCCACGCTTTTTTAGAGACCTTGAAAAAATTGTCTTTAAAAAATCCACGCCTTTTTAGAGGCCTTGAAAAAAATCTTCTTAAAAAAATCCACGCCTTAATCAACCTTGAAAAAATATTCTTTAAAAAATCCACGCCTTTTTAGAGGCCTTGAAAAAATCTTCTTTACAAAAAATCCACGCCTTTTTAGAGACCTTGAAAAAATTGTCTTTAAAAAATCCACGCCTCTTTAGAGGCCTTGAAAAAATCCACGCCTTTTTAGAGGCCTTGAAAAAATCTTCTTTACAAAAAATCCACGCCTTTTTAGAGGCCTTGAAAAAATCTTCTTTAAAAAAATCCACGCCTTTTGAGAGGCCTTGAAAAAATCTTCTTTAAAAAATCCAAGGCTTTTTAAAGGCCTTGAAAAAATCTTCTTTAAAAAATGCACGCCTTTTTAGAGGCCTTGAAAAAATCTCCTTTAAAAAATCCACGACTTTTTAGAGGCCTTGAAAAAATCTTCTTTACAAAAAATCCACGCCTTTTTAGAGGCCTTGAAAAAATCTTCTTTAAAAAAATCCACGCCTTTTGAGAGGCCTTGAAAAAATCTTCTTTAAAAAATCCAAGAAAAAATCTTCTTTAAAAAATCCACACTTCTTTTTAAAGGCCTTGAAAAAATCTTCTTTAAAAAATCCACGCCTTTTTAGAGGCTTTGAAAAATCTTCTTTAAAAAATCCACGCCTTTTTAGAGGCTTTGAAAAATCTTCTTTAAAAAATCCACGCCTTTTTAGAGGCCTTGAAAAAATCTTCTTTAAAAAATCCACGCCTTTTTAGAGGCCTTGAAAAAATCTTCTTTAAAAAATCCACGCCTTTTTAGAGGCCTTGAAAAATTTATCTTTAAAAAATCCACGCCTTTTTAGAGGCCTTGAAAAAATCTTCTTTAAAAAATCCACGCCTTTTTAGAGGCCTTGAAAAAATCCACGCCTTTTTAGAGGCCTTGAAAAAATCCACGCCTTTTTAGAGGCCTTGAAAAAATCTTCTTTAAAAAAATCCTTGAAAAAATCTTCTTTAAAAAATCCACGCCTTTTTAGAGGCCTTGGAAAAATCTTCTTTAAAAAAATCCTTGAAAAAATCTTCTTTAGAGGCCTTGAAAAAATCTTCCTCAAAAATCCACGCCTTTTTAGAGGCATTGAAAAAACCTCCTTAAAAAAGTGCACGCCTTTTTAGAGGCCTTGAAAAATTCTTCTTTAAAAAATCCACGCCTTTTGAGAGGCCTTGAAAAAATCTTTTTTAAAAAATCCAAGGCTTTTTAAAGGCCTTGAAAAAATTTTCTTTAAAAAATCCACGCCTTTTTAGAGGCTTTGAAAAAATCTTCTTTAAAAAATCCACGCCTTTTTAGAGGCCTTGAAAAAATCTTCTTTAAAAAATCCACGCCTTTTTGGAGGCCTTGAAAGAATCTTCTTTAAAAGATCCACGCCTTTTTAGAGGCCTTGAGAAAATCTTCTTTAAAAAATCCAAGGTTTTTTAAAGGCCTTGAAAAAATCTTCTTTAAAAAATCCACGCCTTTTTAGAGGCCTTGAAAAAATCTTCTTTAAAAAATCCACGCCTTTTTAGAGGCCTTGGAAAAATCTTCTTTAAAAAAATCCTTGAAAAAATCTTCTCTAAAAAATCCATGCCTTTTTAGAGTCCTTGGAAAAATCTTCTTTAAAAAAATCCTTGAAAAAATCTTCTTTCAAAAAATCCACGCCTTTTTAGAGGCCTTGAAAAAATCTTCTTTAAAAATGCACGCCTTAATCAATCTTGAAAAAATATTCTTTAAAAAATCCACAACTATTGGTGGGCCTTTAAAAAAATATTTTTTAAAATATCCACGCCTATTGATGGAAAAACTTAAAGAAAACCCTTAAAGGTATATTTAAAACCAGTGGGCGGAGCAGTATAGTCAGACGGGTCGACCATACGATACCCTACACAACTACCACGGCACTCAAACTTTCTGCGGATTTTTATTCCGAGCCTGGGAAATATTTCTTGATATTTGCAACCTCTTGCCCGATTAGAGTTTAACAGCACCTCTTCCTTACCATGATTTATTTTCCGAATATTACTAATATTCGGTACAACCGCCTCTCTAATTAATTGTCCAGATTCCCTTCACCATGGGTGGTGTTGTGATGTTCAGTTTATAATTGTGGCCTATAGATCGACTCGAAAAAAAAAACACAACAGAAAAATTTTTAGTCCACTTCATCCCGAAATTGTTATCTGATCATCACCGAAAAATAGGCGTTGTCCTTGACCATAACTGGATCCTCATGGAAAATTTTTCAAACTATCAGTGCTATATTTCCGCACTCTAGTGTGGTAATGGGTTACTAAATAATATCTGAATAGGTAAGTTTAGTTTAACTTCCAAATCTGAGTAGATACATTACTATATTTGGTATCGATTTAAAGGTCAATCACTCCTCTTGGATACACAAACTTCTCTGGTCTATATCCTTCAGGGGAAAATATATACGCCATAGAATACAAATTTTGTAATTTTTCCCACAAAAATCAGGGTCCATCAGGGTAATGACCGATCTTTATTTAAGCAGGCATGCACTTTCGTTGGCCCAATCCTCTTCTTCATGCAAAATTTCGCGAAGTTCGGACCATAAAAAAACAATAGGGGTCTTCATTGGCCAGAACTTATCCTAAATGCAAAATTTCGTCAAGATTGGTCCATAACTGTGGCCTGTATCGTGTTTACAAATTATAATGGACAGACGGACGGACGGACGGACACACATGTCAGCTAGTCGAGACATGACAATCGGTATACTTAAATGTGGGTCATAGATCAATATTTTGGGGCGTTACAAACTCTTGGGGCTGCACAAAGCTATAATACCCTGACAACATGGTTGTGTAGGGTATACAAATCCACGCCTATTTGTGGACCTTGAAAAATATTTTAATAAAATCCACGCCTATTTGTGGACCTTGAAAAATATTTTAATAAAATCCACGCCTATTTGTGGACCTTGAAAAATATTTTAATAAAATCTACGCCTATTTGTGGACCTTGAAAAATATTTTAATAAAATCCACGCCTATTTGTGGACCTTGAAAAATATTTTAATAAAATCCACGCCTATTTGTGGACCTTGAAAAATATTTTAATAAAATCCACGCCTATTTGTGGACCTTGAAAAATATTTTAATAAAATCCACGCCTATTTGTGGACCTTGAAAAATATTTTAATAAAATCCACGCCTATTTGTGGACCTTGAAAAATATTTTAATAAAATCCACGCCTATTTGTGGACCTTGAAAAATATTTAAATAAAATCCACGCCTATTTGTAGACCTTGAAAAATATTTAAATAAAATCCACGCCTATTTGTAGACCTTGAAAAATATTTAAATAAAATCCACGCCTATTTGTGGACCTTGACCTATTTGTGGACCTTGAAAAGTATTTTAATAAAATCCACGCCTATTTGTGGACCTTGAAACAGTATTCTTTAAAATATCCACGCCTATTGATGGACCTTGAAAAAATATTTGTTAAATATATATATATATATATATGTATATATAAAATATATATTTTTGTTATTCCTTACTTACCGATGTTTATGATGTTTACGTTTTGTACTATCACTTGGAACTATTTTTTCGAGGTCATCATTTTTATCTGATTCCATTTGCAATTGTATATCATAAGCGTAATCTTCGGTATAGGGATATTGTCTGTTGGAGGACGGTCAGCCATGCAATTCACATACAATTCCAATTCAATTTCATTGGCCATTGTAATCAGCAGTCACCAGACAAAAAAACAATCGCCAATTGTCCAATTCCATTCATCCGGCAAACGGAGAGATAGATGTCCACAATGCAGTCATTCAATCATTTCACACAAAAAAAGATGGCCAGGACGGGATCCATATCATCATCATAGCCCAAATCCAGTGCAGTGTGCCAAAAAAGGCAGCAGGAGACAAAAAAAGTAGAAATGAAAATAAAAAAAATATATAAAGAGACAAACAAAGAACCAAACACACACACAAAAATAAATTAGATATCAAGCGGAAAGGGGAAAATGGAAGAAGAAATTATTAATAATGTTGCTCAGTCGTGTCAAAAAATGTTCATAAACTATTTTTATTCTCTCTTTCGTTTTTGATAAGAATTTATAATTAATGTTTTATTTTCATTTTGCAATCTTTTATTTGTATTTTGTTTCGCATTGTGTTAAAGTCACGCACACCCCTACACACTCTGTATGGGTGTTTGGCAGTCGTAAATCATTTGTTTTTGGGTGTATAGGTTCAAGGATCTTTCGCTTTTGTTGTTGTTGTTGTAAATCATACTTACATGGGATCATTAGGCGGCATGGAGAGTATACAATGTTGCAGGCCACTCGTTGCTGGATATACCAATACTGGATCGGAACAACGATGATAACGTTCTGAAATAATGGAAAACCAACATTAAAAAATTACAAAAAAAACATTAAAAAAACCAGGGAGCGGAGCAGTATAGTCGGACGGGCCGACCATATGATACCCTACACAACTTCCACGAAAATCGAACTCTCTGTGGTACTGCATTCTAAGCTTGGGCAATACATTGCGATATTTGCACCCTCATGACCGACAAGAGGTCAACAAATATTATTATTACTTTTAATATTCAGTACAGCCATTCTAATTAATTGTCCAGAGTTCCTTCACCGTGGGTTGTGTTGTAATGTTCGATCGACTCGAAAAAACACAAAAAATTAAGTTTTCGGTCCACATCATCCCAATATAATTATTTGATCATCACCGAATATTATAGGCGTGGTCCTTGACCATACCTGGATCCTCATAGAAAATTTCAAAGCGATCGGCGCTATATTTTCGCCCTCTACTATGGTAATGGGTTACTAAATAATATATGAATACGTCAGCACCTGTAAATATTTACGTGTAACTCCCACATCCGAGTACATACGACAATATAATTGGTATCAATTTAAACTCCTCTTGGATATACTATCAACATCTCGGGTCGATGTCCTTCAGGGGTAAATATAGTCGCTATAGAATACAAATTTTTGTAATTTTTCACACAAAAGTCAGGGTCCATTTGACCTATTAAATATTGACCGATCTCTGTCAAAACAGGCATGCTTATTCTTAGCGCCTACATGTTAAAATTCGCAATGTTTGGGCCATAACTGCGGCCTCTGGAGCGACCAGAAAATCAGACAAAAATAAAGTTTTTGGTCCATTTCATCCCCTAAATATTAACCGATCTTTACCAAAAACAATAAAGGTCTTCATTGGCCAGAACCCATCCTACATGCAAAATTTCGTGAAGATTGCTCCATAACTGTGGCCTGTATCGTGTTTACACGTTATAATGGACAGATGGACGGACGAACGGACACACATGTCTAGATCGACTAAGCTAGTCGATATATGACGATCGGTATACTTAATGGTGGGTCTAGGACCAATATTTCGCGGCGTTACAAAATATTGGGGCTGCACAAAGCTAAATACCCTGACAACATAGTTGTGTAGGGTATAACTAGTAAGGAAAGTAGTAAAGTCGGACTGGATCGACTCTATGATACCCTTCACCAATTTGGGTATATCCTAACAATTGCATACCAATGTTCCCTCGAAGGAACATATTCATGCCCTTCTACAACCTATGCTAAATTTAATTTCATTCGGGAAGATTTTTAGTCGTCTGCGTACCATGGGAGAAATTTATGGAAAACGATTTATAGCAAAATTGATACATGCTATTCGATACCCCGCACTGTTGAACATTTAATTTCAATCATACACCCGATCGATATATTTCAGCAAAACGCAAAAACGTCATTCAAGACGAAAATATATATGGGAGCCATATCGAAATCTGAACCAATTTTCACGAAACTTAGCACACATCGTTCTAGGCTTAATTCAGTAAGCTATGCCAAATTTCGTGCAAATCGAAGGATATGTAGGGACTTTGGTGTGTCATTTACATAAAATCGGACGAAAATATATATGGAAGCCATATTTAAATCGGAACCGATTTTCATGAAACTTAACACACATCGTTCTAGACTTAATTAAGTATGCTATGCCAAATTTCGTGAAAATCGAAAGATATATTGGTACTTTGGTGCACACTTTACCTTAAATCGAGCGAAAATATACATGGGAGCTATATCTAAATCTGAACCGATTTTTCCCAATTTCAATAGGGTTCGTCCTTGGGCCAAATAAATGAGCTGTGCCAAATTTCATTCAATTCGAATCAAAAATGCGACCTGTACTTTGTTTACAATTTAACATGAACATACGGACGGACATGCATAAATCGATTTAAAAAGTGATTCTATGCATATTCTCAAAAGGAACGTTGTGTCTATCCCGTTTCCTTTTGATTGTTGTTACAAATATAAATATACGCCTATGATAGGTTCTTGAAAAAAAAACATTTTTCAAAAATCCACTCCTATGTTAGGTCCTTAAAAATATATTTTTCTCCTGGTACTTACTATATTTTCTCTTCTTCCTGCGATATTCATCATCGCTACCGCTCTGACCCGATGGAATGATGTGTGCTTCTGCTGGAAAACGTTGCTTCTCTTTCAGACGTGATGCCGATGATTTCGTTGTGGTGCAACAACCTGTAGGAGCAATACTCGACCCAGTCGATGTGGAGGTCATGCGATGTAATTTGGCCGTATCATCGTTGAGCGAGGAGGAAGTGGTGGTGACAATGGCAGCAGGAGCGGCAGAGACCCCACCATTTATGAAGGCATTTTCGGGACCTCGCGAACGAAAATCCGCTACTGGCCCTCCCATAGTTGAAGAAGAATACGATTCGATCACAGGATATTGTTGAGGCAGTTCTGATGTGGCAGAGGCCATGGTAACAATGTGCAATGATTGTGTTGGTATATCACTGGTCTTGGGGATGTTCGTGTGGGCGGTGGGGGTCGTGGCGATGGTGCTAGGAGCTATTTGCGTTTTGGTAACTAATTTGAAACTATCTACTAAGATTTTCTGCTTAATATTGCTTGCGATGTGCAATTGCTGGAGTTCGCTTATTGGAAGTGTTGGCAGCTCGGGTGGTGAGGCCAATGCCACCGGTGATGGTTGGGCCGTTTCACATGGCGGTGGCATTGGTGGTGGAGGCCTAGTACGGCCATTGCCCAAGGCTACCAAAACGCTGGCACTTTTCGATTTAAAACGATCGTTGATGTTGACGGGTCGCCCGGATGTTCGCCCTAGGAAATCGGGTATTGCCGTGGATGTGGCTGTCGTGGGAGAGGCATGTAAGGACATGGAATCACTTTGATTGAGCAGCGTGCTGACGGTGAGATTTGCACTATCCTCCGAAGTGTTTTGTCGTGAAATGTTGCGTGACTCGAAGAGGCTATCCGTATAGGAAAACTGATTGGGTAGGAAGCGTCTTCGCAATGTGGCATCTGTGGTCTCCATGGTTTCCGGTTCGGCTAAGGGTAGGGGTTCTATGATATTGATGGGTGGTTGATTGCTGCTCGCTGGACCCACTACTGTCAGAGGACTTTTTGTTATGGGAGGTGACATTGGTTTGGGTGGTGCATGCACCATGGTTCGTATTACATGCCGCGATGGCAGTATGGGGCTGCATTGAGCACTGATTGACTTGGCTTCCAGTATACGTTGCCTCTTGGCTGCTGCTGCTTTTATTCGCTCATAGCTTATATCCTCGGGTATAACTTCAGTGGCTCCAAAACTCACCGTACACCGTGAACTGGCAAAGGATAAACTTTCAATGCTATCACGTATTGAGGTCAGGCTATCCTCACAAATGGTGTGGGAGTTTAGCCGAGCTCCTGCGCCATTTTCATAACCACTGGCCAGGGAGCTGGTATCACAGGTGACTTCGCCACGAGAATGGCTAGCCGGGTGTGCTGGCACAGAGGAACGTTTTTGTTCCGCCCTGGAATCCCCCGATGAGGTTGAGGTCTGAACCTCTGTGGGGGTACCATGGGTCTGAGCCATAACCAAAACATTGTGCTTGACCATTTTGCCCGAGGAATTACTCAACGTACTGGCAATGCTGTCCTCGGCCGTTGCACCTGGAGGATGCGGCGGCGACTGCTGCTGCTGCGTTTTTTGTGTCTCTGAACTGGCAGTGTTCGATTTCGATTTGGACCTGCTGGTCGGTGATTGACGCACCTGTTGCGTTGTTTGATGACTAGAAAACGGTGGACTTTGGACCGAGGATATACTGTGATCGGTTTCAATGTCCAATGATTGGGCCGCATGATCCTTACGAATGGCAGTTTTAGTTGTTGGCATTTTCATTAGCTTCTGTGGGGTGGTTGGCTCCGAATGGGCCTGCATGACCACACTGCCCCCAGCCGATTCACTAAGCATTGAGCTTTTACGTGAATCCACACTGCTGAATAGCCTCTTGGCAAGGAAAATCCGCCCTATGGATTTCCGCTTTAAACGTTTGTTCCGCTTACGCTCCTCACAGTCCCGTTTCATGGCTTGCATTTTCTTTTCGAGCAGAGAATTGAAAACCAATTCATAGGTCACGGCCCGCTGATAATCTTCCAGGTCGGGTATGCCATAGGTGGAGACAGCCTTGTCGGACTTATTAAGGGCTCCCATTTCCATTTGTATCGAATCCGGCTCTTCGGGAGGCTGATGCGGCGTCATTTTGCTGTCCGTTTCAGTGCCCACCTCTTGGTGGCCCTCACCCGATGTTATCTCCTCCTGATGGTGGTCATCTTGGTGTTCCGTTGCTGTGGGATACTTTTGTATCGTATCATCGTCCATTTTAGAATTTTGTTTTTTTCAAGGCCACACCGGTCTCAGCTTAAATACTATAACGACGAAGCATTCAGACCCAGGCTTAACATTTGGCAGAACTTAGAAAGCTTCCAAAAATTTGGAAGCAGGAAGTCAATATTATTCTCCAATTGCTGGTGTGCCTGGTGGTGGTGGTGATGTTGTTTGTGGTGTGGTTGTTTGTTTTTCCGACTATGACAACTTAAAGGGAATTTGAGCTCCAACGGGTGCTGCTGATGCCGATGATCCTGCTGTTTGTTTACGGCTATGGTTGCTGTTGACAAGGACCACAATGTCAGCAAGTGAATGGATGACAATGACACTTTGATTGATAACCTCGATGTGGATGCTAATGTTCTTTGTGTGGCGCTGCGGATTGTGACAATGCCGGCTATTATTATCGGAATGGAAAATAGCTCGACGGAGATGGGTCGGGAGATATTTGTTTGTATTGAGTTGTTGTCTGATTCGAGTTTTTCTGCTGCTTCTATTCTTGATGGCGACAATTTTTTCAACATTTTTCATTCGTTGTTGTTGTTGTTGTTTTGCATACCAAACACTGGGACAATGACGCGGTTGATGACACCCCTAATAACGTTGTCGTTGTTGTAAATATTTGCACAGTTTTCCAATACACAGACAAACAAAACATATTGACAGTTGATTATACGTGTGTGTGTGTGTGTGGGTGAGTGTGTGTACAAAAATAGCGAGGTCTAAAGGAAAACAATTCAATTCAGAGGATATTTTACAAAACACCTCTTGCCTCCTTCTTAGATTATTTTTCGCTTTCTTCGGCTTCCCCTCGTTCTCGATTTCCTGAGCAATTGTCTCTTTATATTCTTGAAAATCCGAACAATGCAAGATGAAGAACTACTAGAAAAGATTGTTTTCAATTTCTTTTGAATGCATTTTATTTCTCGTATGACTGTGTGGGTGAGCACTACTCTTCTTCTTCACATTTACTGGAAAACTGTTGTCGATTCTGTTGTAGAATAAGTTATTGTGAGGAATATCTGAAAATAGATAGAATGGGGGTAAATGTTAAAAAGTTACATTGTTGTGAAGAAAAGAAAGACAAGGTATTAAATTCTATTTTTAAAAAGATAAATCAATGTCTTAACTAGCATGAAAATCACAGCTTCACCACATTGTGGTAGTTAAGTTTCGGGCAAATCTGTTCTGGTTTAGAAATAGCTCCCATACATATTTTCGTCCGATTTTATGTAAATGATGCACCAAAGACCCTATATATCCTCCGATTTGCACGAAATTTGGCATATCGTACAGAATTAAGTCTAGATCGATGTGTGTTAATGTTAGCGAAAATCGGTTCAGATTTAAATATAGCTCCCATATATATTTTCGTCCGATTTTTTGTAAATGGTACACCAAAATCCCTATATATCCTTCGATTTGCACGAAATTTTACATAGCGTACTAAATTAAGTCTAGAACGATGTGTGTTAAATTTCGTGAAGATCAATTGAGATTTCGATATAGCTCCCATACATATTTTCGTCCGATTTAAGGTAAATAGGGCACCAGAGTCCCTATATATCTTCCGATTTGCACGAAATTCTGAATAGTGCAATGAATTGAGTCTGGAACGATGTGTGTTAAATTTCGTGAAAATCAGTTCAGATTTAGATATAGCTCCCATATATATTTTCGTCCGATATTAGGTAAATTGGGAACCATAGTCCCTTTATATCCTTCGACTTGAACGGAATTTACCATAGCGTAATAAATTGCGTGTGGAATAATGTTTGGTAAGTTTCGGGAAAATCGATTCAGATTTCGATATAGCTCCCATATATTTTCGTCCTATTTTAGTAAATGGTTCACAAAAGTCCCTAGCAATGAATTGAGTCTAGAACGATGTGTTTTAAATTTCATGAAAATCGGTTCAGATTTTGATATTTAGATTTTAGGTAAATTGGGCATCAGAGTCCCTTTATATTTTTCGATTTGCAGGAAATTTGGCATAGGGTTCAGAATTAAGTCTAGAACGTTGTGTGTTAAATTTCGTGAAAATCGGTTCAGATTAAGATATAGCTCCCATATATATTTCCGTCCGATTTTAGGTAAATAGGGCACCAGAGTCCCTTCATATCTTTCGATTCGCACTAAAGTTGTGTTTTAAGTATCGTGAAAATCGGTTTAGATTTAGATATAGCTCCCATATATATTTGCGTCCGATTTTAGGTAAATAGTGCACCAAAGTCCCTATTTATCCTTCGATTTGTACGAAATTTTGCATAGGGCAAAGAATTGAGTCTGGAATGATGTGTGTTTAAGTTTCGAGGAAATCGGTTCAGATTTCGATATAGCTCGCATAAATATTTTTGTCCGATTTTATGTAAATGGTGCACCAAAGTCCCTATATATCCTTCGATTGGCACGAAATTTAGCACGGCGTACTGAATTAAATCTACAACGATGTCTGTTAAATTTCGGAAAAATCGGTTCAGATTTCGATATAGCTCCCACACATACACATATGTTCGTCAGATTTTACGTAAGTGATGCACCAAACTCCTAATGTTTGTCCGATTAACACGAAATTTTGCAGAACGTATCAAATTGAGACTTGAATGACGTTGTTGCTTTTTGTTGAAATTGGTGCAGATGCAGCCATAGCTTTCATATGTATTTCGAACTGGTGTCAGATTGAAACAATGCGGCGAAGCGAATAGCGTGTACCAATTTTGCTATAAATTGTTTTCCATTAATTTGTACCATTGTAAGCAGACGACTCTAAATCTGCCAGAATGGAATTAAATTTATCATATGCTGCCGAAAGACGTGTGTATGTTCCTTCTAGGGTACATTGACATGCAGTTCTAAGGATATATATGTACAATATACCCAAGTGACACCCCCATATATATTCGGCCCAGTCCGACTTTACTACTTTCCCTTATGGTTAAAAATCCAGCCTATATTTGGACATTGAAAAGATATTTTTAAAAATCCACGCCTATGTTTGTTCCTTGAAAAAATGTTTTTAAAGTCCACGCCTATGTTTGGTAAAACCTAAATAAAAACCAGTAAGGAAAGTAGTAAAGTCGGACGGGGCCGACTATATGATACCCTTCACCACTATGGGTATATTAAACAGGACTATTAGCATGAAATTGGATGAAATAAAATATGTGGTATTTATCTAAATGTGAATCTACCTAGATCTATCCATAAAGTATGTAAATCGACTTCAAACAAATATAAATAGGTCATCCGTTGGGCTATGTCTGTACTTCTATAAAACGCAACTACGTTATTCTATGCTCAATTTTGTACGATGTGCAAAATTTGATGTCAATCTGACTAACATGAGAAAGTTGATGTCCAATTTACTTGAAATCGGGCGGAAATATATATTTGGAAGCTCTAACCAAATATTAAGCGATTTCAAACAAACTTGTCACAGGTTAGGTTATACTAATTTCAGAACGTTTTGTTCCTATTGGTTCTTTGGTGCGTCAATTACTTAAAATCAATCTATAATAAAAGGGAGCTATATCTAAATCTGGACCGATTTTCACAAAACAAGGCAGACATCACTCTAGGCTCAAGTCAGTACGTTATGCGAAATTTCGTGCAAATCGAAGGACATATAGGCTCTTTGGTGCACCATTTACATGAAATCGGACGAAACAATCGAAAGATATATAGGGACTATGGAGCACCATTTACAAGAAATCGGACGAAACTATATATGATAGCTATATCTAAATCTGTACCGATTCTCACGAAACTTGGCAGACATCATTCTTGACCTAAATAATTAGGCTGTACCAAATTTCGTGCAAATCGGAAGATATATAGGGACTTTGGGCACCATTTACATAAAATCGGACGAAACTATATATGGGAGATATATCTACATCAGGACCGATTTTCATGAAACTTGGCAGACATCATTCTAGGCTAAATTAAGTACGTTATGCCAAATTTCGTGGAAATCGAAAGATATATAGAGACTTTGGTGCACCATTTACATGAAATCGGACGAAACTATATATGGGAGCTATATCTAAATTTCGACCGATTTTCTCGAAAGTTGGCAGACATCATTCTTGGCTCAATTCAGTACGTTATGCCAAATTTCGTGCAAATCGAAAGATATATAGGGACTTTGGGGCACCATTTACATGAAATCGGACGAAACTATATATGGGAGCTATATCTAAATCTGGACCGATTTTCACGAAACTTGGCAGACATCATTCTAGGCTCAATTCAGTACGTTATGCCAAATTTCGTGCAAATCGAAGGATATATAGGGACTTTGGGGCACCATTTACATGAAATCGGACGAAACTATATATGGGAGCTATATCTAAATCTGGACCGATTTTCACGAAACTTGGCAGACATCATTCTAGACCTAAATGATTAGGCGGCACCAAATTTCGTCCAAATCGAAAGATATATAGAGACCGTTTACATTAAATCGGTTAAATATATATATGGGAGCTATATCTAAATCTGAACCGATTTTTCCCAATTTCAATAGGGTTCGTCCTTGGGCCGAATAAGTGACCTGTGCCAAATTTCATCCAATTCGAATCATAAATGCGACCTGTACTTTGTTTACAATTTAACATGGACAGACAGACAGACGGACGGACGGACATGCATAAATCGACTTAGAAAGTGATTCTATGCATATTCTCAAAAGGAACCATGGGTCTATCTCGATTATTTTTGCCTGTTACAAACATATGCACAAAGACATAATACCCTGTACCACAATGTTGTGATATTGTGCAAAAAACCTCTGTCTCTCACTTCATTATTTTTGCTAAAATTTATTGATATTTTATGACATTTATGACTTTTAATAAAACAAAAAAAATGTATCAGAAATTGTTGCAGAACAGATAAAAAAATTGGGGAGGATATTTAAATCCTTAACCAAATGTTTGAAGATTTATTTGCAAAAGGTCATTAAAAATGTTATGAGTGTTCAATGGTCTATA